TTTCATCTTTTGTCTAATTAAAAGAGTCCTTGCATCTAGGGAACCCAGGAACAAATTCCACCTTGCTCATGGAGCTGACTTATCTTCCTTCTAAGTGTGCTCAGTAATCTTCTGTCCCTTGTTTAAGAATCTACAAGTGCGCTTTACGTCCCATAGGAATAACTGATCCAAGATCCCAGGATCTTAAAAGAAAAATAGTCCTCCATTAAAAAAAATACATAATTGCTGCCTCTCCTGAGATATTTTTACAGTGTTTCCCTAGAGGAGGGATTGCAGCTGATGGCCCAATGCAGGGCAGAGACCCACAGACAGACAGTCTGGCTCCAATTTATGTTCTGTGCTAACATGGCTAATAGGCATTAGTATTTTGATTTAGAGAAGTGCTCTACTTGATCCTAACTTGGGTGTATACACTGGTAACATCTGGCGTAGAGGCACAGATTTCAAGGCCAAGTACTATTTATTTTCATCTTCTTTTCCTTCCTCCTCTTCTTTCCTTCCCTCCCTTCTTCTTTCCCTCCCTCCTTCCCTCCTGTCCTTTTTCCTTCCCTTCCGCTCTTTGCAGTGAAATGTCTTGGGAATCATTTCAATGTTTTCATAGAGCGGCGTTTGGCATAAATTGGCAGAAGTTCCATTTGCCCCATGTTGAACTCTGTTGGAGACACGCTCAAACTTTCAGAACACTTATATGTGTAATATGTATCAGAACTTTCATACAACTTTGTTTTCCTCCCTTTTCACTCCATCCAAGTTTTTGCTATCACTTCGTTTTCAATTCTAAACTCAACACTCACTATAGCTAAGTGAGGAAAAAATGTAGCTGATCCAGATTCATAAGAAACCCTTTAAACATCTATGAAAATGAGTAAGCATTTTAATACAAAACTTGGGTTCTCTCCAGAAGTCTGTCTCACTCTCAAATGCTTGATAAAGCAGTGGGACTACAGCCACTGTTGACTCCTTCCCAGCCTCGGGTGCCCATGATGGCCAGACTCTGGGAAGGTTTGGCCCACCAGATGCACAGTCCTCCATTGTGGAATCTGAGATTTGTAAGTCCTTCAACTGGAAAACTGTGACACTGTAACCTGTTTATTTAAAATTGGCTGTTCCCATGACTTACTTAGCCTGAAGAGGGGGTTGAATTTATATATTTGAGAAGAAGCTTTCCCCAAACAGTTAATATCACCACCTCTTTACTTGGTTTTCCTTGGCTTGTGGCATAGATGACCAAACACCTTTCTTCCAATGGGCTTGCTCTATTGAAACCTTAGTCAAATTTAACCAGTTCATACTCTGACAAAAGTCAAATCTAAACTTGCCCAGTTGAGAAATGGAATTTTTGTCAGCTTATGGAGGACTGACTGTGGTGGGGTATGTGATGTACAAAACACCACTGTTTGTAAAACAGGTGATTAACCTTCCCAGTGCCATGGGGTTGCATTCCAATAGTGGACACAAACACAGCTTTCATCACACCATGTGCTGTGCCTGCTTACCAGAAGAACCATGCATTGTTTTACATGTATTTGTTTGCATGCTTATCAGACCCACAGAAAATGCATTCTTCGTGGGTTTTTCTATCATCGTTTGACAGCAGCAGGAGGGATGCAGTTTAGAAGCATGTTATCAATCAAAGAAACAATCACGGGGCCACGAGGTTTTCCCCCATCTTCCCTTGCATCAGATCTATAAATGTAAAGAATGTAAGGAATGAACCTGAGATAACCAGTAATTTTATTGGAAACTTAAAAAGGGAAAGAAATATCAGTTGGGATAAAAGTTTCACTAACCTCACCCCAACAGAAAATCTTTAAGAAGCAAGATATTTATATACCCCCATCTGAAATGGATATCTTTAGAGCAGAAATCATCAGAGCTCAGCGAGGCTCCCTTTTACTGTCTTGCATCACGGACATTCCTCAAAAGCAGGAAGCGTCACTAATGGAATTATATGTTTTCATGCCGTAATTACATTTGATTTTCCTGATATTTCTGTAGACTTTTTGTTCACGGGTCCATGACTTTGCAGAATATTTAGAAGTTTTCTATAACCTTGTCCCAATTAAGACCCCTGCTCTGTTCCTTCCAAAAGAGAGGATTAGCAAGAGAGGTTTTTAACAGAAAAAGACAAAATGTGTACTTAAAAAATTATTCAAGCTTCAGAGAGTTCTCTCAATAATAATAAAGGATATGAACAACAAAAGAGTGTCTTATAATGGATGGAAACACAGTCAGTCAGGGATCCTTCTGAGTTTTGAAATGGCCTGAGCTAAAAATAAAATAAAAGCTTTAGGTACACAACATACATTTATTTTCTTTATTTTTGAATGAGTACTTGTTAGACAAAACAATTTGATCTTTGCCTCATGTTGAATTCTTTTGTAGACACATTGAACTTTGCAGAACCCGTTTGTATAGTGTGTATTCATACAACCCTGTCCATACCTTCACTATCCAATATTTTTGATTTGGGTATATTTGAGTATATTGACCAGGTAAGCTGCAACATGGCAGTAGTGTCCAAGTCTAAGTCACAAAAGGACATGATCCAGGATCTGAGCATCTACACAGGATTTTGTCAATAATGTTTAAAAATATCCATAAAAATGCCTGCTGAGAAAATGAAAATAATAAAGTATGGTGGAGCCTCCCACACTATTCCTGCCTTAGCCTCATCTTCTCCCACAGCAAGTCTTAGGTTCGTTTTACATACCTCCAAATACCATTAGCATTTGATTCTTATTAATCTGACCCTGCCCTTCTCCACATGTTTCAAGGCTACAGAATGTTGGGGAAATACTTGAAATATGTTTCCTTCACAAAGCACTATGTACGTAGACGTAGGAAGACATCTGAATGATGCTGTGGGGTGGCATCTACTGGCAAATGGAGGAGGTTGGAGGTATAATTGAATGTCAGTGGGCCTGCCATGGACGATATGTTCTTATCTACAACTGAAGTAAAGCATAGCTCTCCCCAGGTGTAGTACATTTCTTAATTTATTAGAATGTTGAGGACCAAATTTCAGATATCTGTTCTCAAATCCCTGCGGTTTGTTTCATGGCCCAGTCACTCAACCCAAACCATACTCTGAGGACTTCTCAAAAACCCAAAACCAATAGTGTCCATCTAGACAATGTCTCCGCCCTGAAACACCCATGTGGCCTTCGATTCAAAGGAGCCGCCCCTTCCAGATTTTCTACTCTGCATCTCATCGCCACACCTGTCGCAGTTCTTTAGATTTGTTTCACCTTTGTTCATGTCAACACAGCCATGTGAAGGATTGCTCACCAGTCCCTAAACTCTCCTTAAAATCTCATAATCTCCTGATGTTGAGATTTCAGCCCCAGGCAGTCATGGTAAAATAACTACCCGACTCCTGATTCTTAAGTCTTTGCTGTTATTTAAGGTATTGGTTACTGTAAGCAAACGCAGAATCATTTTGACTTCTCACCAATCCCTCCAATTCCCTACCCTTCTAAACCAATGGTTCTCAACCTTCCTAATGCTGTGACCTTTTGATACAGTTCCTCATGTTGTGGTAACCCCCAACCATAAAATTATTTCGTTACTACTATATATCTCTAATTGTATAAATCGTAATGTAAATATATGATGTGCAGGATATCTGATATTCGGCCCTAAAAGGGGTTGAGACCCATGGTTGAGAACCACAGCTCTAAATCATGCATTTTCGACACAGGTTATAGTAAATGAATATTCTTTTACTCTCCACTTCTTGCAACCTTTGTGAAATTAAGGTTAGAGCTCACTATACATAGAGTTAAATAAGGTTCCTGTTACCCTGTCAACCAAACTGCAATCCATAATTAAGTGACAGTTGTACCATTCTCTGTCTGATCTTACTATCCTAACATAATGCAATAGTCCCAGCTCAAGTCCTATGACATTCACTTGTCCTATTCTCCTCCATCTCTAATTTGATAGTACTCATTCTTCTTGTTTCTTTTCTTTCTTTTTTTTTTTTTTTTTGGTTTTTCGAGACAGGGTTTCTCTGTGGCTTTGGGGGCTGTCCTGGAACTCGCTCTGTAGACCAGGCTGGCCTTGAACTCACAGAGATCCGCCTGCCTCTGCCTCCCGAGTGCTGGGATTAAAGGCGTGCGCCACCAACGCCCGGCTTTCTTGTTTCATTTTTAAGATTATAATATAATTACAACCTTTCTCCCTTCCCTTTCCTCTTTGCATATCTTCTCGTGTACCTCTCCCATTTTTGTACAATTCACTTTCTCTTTTTTCACTAATTGTTATTGCATGCATATATGTATATACATATATATTTCTAAATCTAATATTACTCTGTATAATATTAAATGAATTTTCTTTCAAATATTTAGTATGCTTTCTCTGTTCTTCAGCAGTTATCCAAAATATATACACAGCATATTTGTAAATGAAGTCATCTGAATTTGTTGTCTTTTAAGCTTCAATTATGAATATATTGATTTTGTAGATAAACTTCTATTGAAATATGTTTTTAGTCTATATATGCATATAAATTTCTGTAAATTACCAGATATATCTTTTGATATTTGTGTTGTGGATAAATTATAAGTCATTTTACATGCACATATGTAATTATGTAGATATTATAAATGCCATAATTGTATTGGGGTGTATACCATAAATTTCAATGAATGTATATGCTATGTAATGATCAAGTTGATAATTAGTATTTCTGTTTCAAACATTTATCATTCTTAGGGGTGAGATCATTTGGAATGCTTTATTCTGACCATCTGGAAGACCATAGTAAATATTGTTAACTGTAGTCACCCTACTTTATATTATCAGTCACTAAGGACATTGTCATATTTTTAGATATTTCCCAATTATTCAACCCCTCTCACCTCTGGAAAAATGTTTTAATCCTCACTATAAATCCTTTTAATATTTTCCTTCTCCAGCAATATGTACCTAAAATATTTTATTGCTCATTATGATTATTGAAATTTTGCCTCATTACATATGCACTTTTTCAGGACCCCCCAATGGCTGTGACCCTCGGGCTACGAATGGAGGAAATGATCTTTAATCTTGCTGATACACATTTGTTTTTTAATGATTTAGAGGTAAGAATTTTAAAAGCTAAGAATAATTATTGCCAAACAAAAACTCTCAAGTAGTGTCATGTATGCAGAAAGCCTTAAGAAATTTGAAAAAAAATGATACTCATCCCATGAGAATTGTGACGTTCTCATAAAGTGGAAAAATTGCATAAAATAGCAAACCTGTACTCTTGAATTATACACATTTACAGATATGTACTGAGAACAAAACTGTCTTAGAAGAATACATGGACCCTTTGTGGGTTGGGTCAGACAAACCCTCATTCTGCCCTTGGTTCATTGGTATATCCCCTTTGCATTCGTGGCAGCAAATCAGGTTACTAATCAGAATATGATTTATGGTATTCACTGGACGACACGCACCGATCCTCTCCCCAACAGAAGCATGAACCAATGAGTGTTGCAGCATCTCTGGATGCACCGGTCCTCTCCCCAACAGAAGCATGGACCACTGAGTGTTGCAGCATCTCTGGACACGCTTTCATTCCCACTATCTGCCCTTCTAGATTAAAGAATGCTGGAGCCATTTACATAGCATAGCCGATGACTCTTACTGATTTAAGTACTTTCTTCTCTTGGGGATTCCATTCCTAATGTCAATGCCAACACAGTTGTCTGACAAACAAGAGACAAAGAAAGTAAAAATCGACAAAATAAAAGAGCACAAGAAAAATCTAGCCTCAGAGTAGCTACATACATGCCATATTAAAGAGCATCTCAGTGTTAGCAATCTGGGGTACCAGACATGAAGACAGTAGAATAAGAAATAATGAAGTAATTGGGCTAAAATTGAGACTGCTCATTTTTACTCGCTTAATTTTTCACTTTAGTTTTGTAATCTCACAATGAGGTCCAAGTTTTTGTTTATAGTGACATTATGAACAGAGGTGGTGATTATCATTATCTCTTACATGGCTATAGACATTTTATGTTGAACTATTCATTAACCGTCAATACTTTTAAATAAATAAGTATATCACATCACTTGTCAGAGAACAAACTATAGTTTCATCAGTGCAATATATACTACGTGTCATATTTATGACAGATATGCCATGAATGTGTGTGTGTGTGTGTGTGTCCAGATTTGCCAACTAGCTCAATAATAGAGCTCTGATTTTAAAGCAGGTTTGAGACAAGAGTACAGACTTGTGTCCCCAAACCTTGATGAAATTATGGTGAAATAAAGAAAAGCCACATTTTAGTGAGTGACTTAGATAAGATTTTAGGTCAAGTCTTAGCTGCATCAGAGACAGGAGATGAAAAATGATTCCATGAGAACCATAAAATCAAGTTCTGTGAGCTACAAGGGAAGAAGTGATCATTTGTTCTCAGCTCTGTCTGTGTTTTCACTGATAAAATGTCTGTCCAAAGAAATTTTATTTGTTAATGAACAAATATGAAATGTCAGTATTCATCTAGTTTTCCTTTTTTGTATAATAAGAAATACTGATGACCCTTGTAAACCCCGACTTCAGCTAATCCCACTGCTCCTTATTCCCAGAGATGCATGATGCTTTTACAATGATGCCTGCTAATAGGAAACAATTGAACTTACATGGAACTTGACGTTTTAAGTTCAGTAATAGCTATTTGTTACTTGTTCTTAGTACGGGTGAATCTCAGCCTAAAAATTGTAAAACAGTTAGTATTTTCAAAGTTACTAACAGAAATGAAATTGAATACGGTTTTGCCCAGTTTTATGATGTTTATCTCATTTGATTTCTTTTTTACTAGAAACACATGGAATAAATGAAAGCTTTTTGGTGGCATATTAAAAATAAGATGGAATAGGGCAGAGTAGGGTCATCATGCCTATCAGATCTCATTGTGACTGAAGAGAAAGGACCCCATAAAGTTGTCTTCTGAGCCCCACATAGGCACTATGGCATACATCACCCCAACAGAAGTGTATGCACACACATATATACACAATAAGAAGAAGAAGAATTTAAACAAAACCCTCACCTTATAGCAGAATACTAAAATGAGAATGTGCCAGTATCTTAACACAAATATGTAAATACATTTACATGCTTAGAGAAAATATTGCAATACACAGAAAAAGTTATGACTATATATTGTGCTTTTAGAGTTTTCATCTTATGCAAGATATTATGTTAAAGTTACTTTGTAAGTATTGGCTGTGATCATAAACAGCAATACTAAACTGAGAAAATGTTGTTGTTGATGTTTCTCTTTTTGGGTGTGTTTTAGAATTCTACAGAACCACTATTTGACTTAAATCCGCAGTTCAACTATTGAAGTGTACTCCCCTTAATGAGTAAAAGCTAAGCCTGAGCATGGTGTGTGCATGTTTGCAAAGGTAGATGAAACTAGGAAACACAAATGTGTATTGCCAAGTGACACAAACAAGCACTGAACTAATAAGATCCAGGCAGTAACTTTCAAGTCCATTTGGTAGAGATACCTACATTACTTCTATCCTGTGTGGCTAATTTCAAACATCACATTTATGTCAATAACCCTTTTGTCAGTAAACTTCTAACAAAGGCTCCATAACAGGAATTAAGCCAAACCTGCTTCTGCTGCTACACGCAATTGCTCAAGACAGTATATTATAATTAGCTTATTGTGAGAAATTTTCTTCTTGTATATTTAATCTCTTAGGATCTTCTGTGGAATCCAAGTGTCAATTTGAAACAGTAAATGCTTCAATACATGGTTCACCATGGGCAGCGACAGCTGTTCCTCTCAAACTCCCTTGAAAGGTCCAAATCTGATTCTGACTACTCAACACTTCATTCCATTCTGCCCACCCCCAACCCCAGCAAGAGAATTCTCTCTGTTCAAAAAAATGTTATTTCAGTTAGAATAACTTCCAGAGGAGAAAACACCAGGGAGTTGGGGTTCATGAAAGTGAGAGAGGAGTCCTGTGGCTTATAACTGGAATAGATCAGGAACAACTTTGTGGTTACCTTATAAAACAAATTTAAAGCATTTATAATTAGCACCAGAATTATTTCAAACATTTGAGGTCTTTGCTAAGCTATGTTCACAACGAAAGCACTTGGAGAGTTGTAGGTTTGGGTTAAAATGATTCCTGCATGGCTCCTCACAGTGAAAACTAGTTGATGAGCAATTATTTATCTTTTCCCTTAAAAATCTAAGTAATTGAAGTTCAAGTTTCTTTCACTGGCCCGTAATCCTTGGGCAACTGTCCAGAGTCAACACAGAGAGTTACTAAACATAAATTTAAAGAGAGTTAGATTTGGAAAACCCTCAAACCTAACTTCAAATACAGAATGCATGGTTCAATACGTTTGATATACTGTTGTCCTCAGGAGTAAAAAAAATGAATTTGGGGTCAAGTTATGCACAAATTAATCATGTAAGTTTAATACTTGAAACGTCAGGGGAGCTTTTCAAAAAATTAGAATAAAAAAGGACTCAAGAAATAACTTCTGGAAAAAATCTCCCTGCCCATTTGGGGGGATTTAAGTAAGTTTATTACATAAGAGAGACTCGGATATTATTTACACGAGGAAAAATTTTGACAGCTTGGTGGTGTGAGGAGCATCAGGTACTTATTTCAATCGAAAGTCCTCCCAAGAATGTCACAATGTATGAGCTAGAGAGATGGCTCAGTGACTAACAGCACTTGCTGCTCTTCTATCCAACCTGGACCTGACTCCCAGTACCTACATGGTGGCTCACAGCTGTCTGTAACTCCATTCCCATGGGATCTAACACCTATTGTGGACTCAACAGGTACCAGATACACATGTGTATATATGCAGGCAAAACACTCATACGCATTAACATTTATTTAAAGAATATTACCATGTCTAAAGAAGAAATACTTAGGTCATCTTGAGCTACTTCAGTGCCTCCATATTCTGGGGAGGAAATAGGTTTTCCAGCTGTCATGCTACTATTTAGATCACTTTAAAGTCCAGTGCAGCAGTTTGCTATACTTGCATCCAATTTTTTTGAGGTGCAATGCCTCCTTTCATTCCAGGGTAGCCTGCATCCTTCTCAACTACTTCTTTGTCAAAAAAAGGGGGGGGAGGAATAGCCATAGCTCAGGCAACCTCAATTCCTATTCCGTTCTTTTCTTCTCCCTCGAATCATGGCATCCACATCTTCCCACAACCCTCACCATCTGGGATATTAATTCATGTCACTATAACTTTTTTTTCAGGGACCTGAAATGATGTGACACTCCTACCAATTACTATCATTGTCTAGACGTCTGCCATGTATTTAAGAAGCAATTATTTTGCTTTGTAACTGGGAGTTGTCTTTGTTGTTGACTACTCATTTAACATGGTACTGGGCTATATAAAGACATTTTCAAACAAGTATGTGATGTATCTTGAGCATATTTCCCATTCCATATTCCCCCTTCCTTCAAGTTTTTAAGTTTCCCATTCAGTTTTTTCACTCCCCAGATTCTGGATTGTTTTCTGCCTCTAGGATATGTCTCTAAAATTCAGTGTATCAAGATTATCTCTCCAAGAACTGTCAGATGATTTCTAGTTAGAATAACTCTTCTCGGCTCTTACCTAGGAACATAGGTAGAGATTTATTAAAACATTATGAATCTCATAATCTATGTAAACTTTATAAACTATTAAAATAAGTATACCTAGATTTTTAAAAAGGTATTTTTGTTCTCATTTTATGTTTAAGGGTATTTTGCATGCACGCATGCATGTATGTGTGCCATGTGCATACATATAGCAGGACAGGGGGTTGTCAGCTGTCATGGGATTGCTAGGAACTAAACTGGGTTTTCTGGAAGAGCAACAAATGCCTTTCAATGCTGAGCCACCTGTCCTTCCCAAATACGTTTTGAAGTTACATTCCAAAATTTTACTCACTGAGCTTGCCACTTAGCTTTGTGTTTGTTTTATTGTTTATTTAGCTCACATTCATTTTCTTTACTTGGGAAAGGAAGTTATCTACATAACACACATGTGGAAGGCAGAGGACAATTTGGAGGAATCAGTTCTCTCCTTCCATTTTGTGGGCTCCTGGGTTCAAACGCAGGTCCTCAGGCTCAACAGCTTGCTCTTTACCTGCTGCTCAACCCTCGCCCTCCAGCTCTTTAAGTGAAAAATCTGAGTCAACTTTAATGGGATAAATATGTTCTGTGTGGAAGGCTGAAGACTGAACACTCAGTGTTTGGCTACAGATACTCCCAGGTCTGTAACAAATTTGAAATGGGGAGTCTTTCTTAACGTTGCCTATTTTCAAACTTGACTATTTTTAAATTGATTTTTGAATGGTAAGTGCTTACCTGCAGCATCGAAATCTGTGGGTATAAAACAAGCTAAAGGAAATATAAGAGACACAAAAGCTGGGGATGTAATTCAGTCGTGAAACACTTGCATAACTTATGCAAGACTGTAGCTTCACTCTCCTGCAAAACACACACACACACCACAAACACACACTTATTGATTTATTGTGGATTGTAATCATTTGTAACTCTTAATCGTGGATTTATTTCTCTTAGGGATAGGCATTTTAATCCTTACCAGCAAATTTCACCTTAAACCCTGTAATGTTTCACTGGAACTTTGCAGATCATTTAAACACAGAGCAGGACCTTTAGAACCTCAAAGAGCCCAGTTCTTACGTGGAAGCCACTATTTTAGAACCTCAAAGAGCCCAGTTCTTACGTGGAAGCCACTATTTTGCTTTAAGCAACCTCTAACTTGAAATCAGACCCAAAGTGGACATCCTTACTAAGTTTATTTTCCTTAGAATTTGTAGTGCATTTTGGTATGTAAGTCTTTACTGTTCTGCCTGTATTCGTTGAAATTTAAAAATGCTTTTAAAGCCTGACGAAGAGAGGATGTCAGCTTCTATGGCTACTAACTTTACTCTGTATCAGAAAACCATGACTTTCAGTAATATAACACCCCTCCCACTCTAGCAAAAAAAGCAGGAAGCCTTGGAAAGCTCACAGGACACCATGCTCTGAGGTCAAGACCCCTTTGCTGCCACCAGGCAAATAATAAATAATAGTGACTACTCGATGTGTTCAGACCCAAGGCACAGTGTGTGTATTCAGATTAGAGGGGACACTGATTTCAAAGATCCCAGAGCTCTTCATATCAATGATTTTAAGATTAAACTTGTTTTTTCAAAGCACTCCAAGTTTTCAGACTGCTCTATGTGGCCCTTCTGGATTTGGATCTGAGAAAGGAAGTGGTACAATTTCCCACACACAAGAAAACAAGCATTAGATGAAGGAATGGCTGGGCCCATGCTGCCATCTCGTGGCCATATAGTCCCCTGATAGACATGTTTGGGAGACTGGTAATGTCTTCTCTCTCCTTTTTCCCCAGGAATGTGATCAAGTTCACATAGATGATGTTTCCTCAGATGACAACGGTCAGGACCTAAGGTAAGCTATTCCTTATAGTCTTCCATTTCCTACAGAATTCAGCCGTGGAGTTTTGCACATGTAATTATTTCTTTTATTTCTTTTTTAATGTATTTTGGGTGTTGCAGTACCTACAGTTTTGCAACTGATGGCTTCCATGCAGCTGCAAGTAGTGCGAACCTTTGTTTGCCAACAGGTGTGAGAGGAGGAGTGGACTGGATGAGGAAGTTGGCTTTCCGTTACAGAAGAGTAAAGGAATTATATAACACCTACAAGAACAATGTCGGAGGTACGTGCAGCCGGTTCTGTCCAGTGTCAGCACCCTGGGTCTAGGTAGAATTCAAGTTGTAGTTTCATAATGGAGATTGGCTACTGGAAAACAAATCAGCTAAAGGCTCACACTGAAAAGTACTGAGCCTGAGTTTTTTCTTTCTTTGAATTACTAGGGGGAAATTGAATGCACCCCCGTGAAAAGACTCAGCATTTCTGTATGAAACCTCCTGTTCTATCAAGATTTCCAGCAGGATATTTACTTGGCTTCATTGCTAGTACTCTGTTATTATCAATGAAAAACAAATGAGGGAGGTGGTCAAGATGCCTTTGTAAAGCCAAAAGCCATGACAATCTCTCTCTCTCTCTCTCTCTCTCTCTCTCTCTCTCTCTCTCTCTCTCTCTCTCTCTCTCTCTCTCTCTCTCTCTCTCTCTCTCTGTCTCTCTCTCCCCTATCAGAATATACACACGGTGGTTTGTACAAGTTCAAAATGTGTTAAAGATCTATTTGATCTCTTTAAAGTTCACACATCATCTGACAATGTATCTTCCCACAGTGTAGTGATGTTTTATTCGAAGTGGGATTTAAAAGTTCTAATACTCCAGAGGTAGTGTCTAAATCACATTATACTTATCCATATAATTTGAGGCAGTATTGAAACCTTTAACCTCAAACCACAACCCTGGCTTTGCTTCTCCAAATGGGAAAAAAATGGATACTCCTTTATTGTTAGAATCAATGTTATGCCGACAGATTCCTAAGATTAGTTCCAAGGTTGATCGCATACAATTCTTCCCACAAGCTGATCGATTTTCTTTTAAAAGGAAATGTATTTGGGGAGGAAAAAACCAAAGTAGCCAGGAGAAAATGATATTTCTAAACACATGTAAACACATGTAGGCATTCTGTATGGTCACATGTATGCCATAGAATAAAATAAAATTTTCCTCCACAGAAAATACATTGCCCCTGTTCAATTTCAACTTGAGGATGGGGGCTATGTGTTTGCTTCCCAGTATTTTTAGCACTGAATTACATTAAGCCCTCTGTGAACACTGAGTAAGTGGTAAAAGCAGGCAGGATCACAGACTATGTGACCATTTTAACCAACATCAAGTTTTGTTTCCAAATAGATAACTGAGCCCTGATTTAATTCCTGGTTATATTTTGTAAATCATTCTAATGCTTTGCAAAAGACACTGTTGTAAAATAAAATTGATTTTGTAGGTAAAATCAATTGTAAATAATACATTTAACTTTTTAAAAAACTAAACATCCCTTTGAGAGGTCTGAAACATTTGTTATTTGTGTCTTTCCCCCATCTTACAGAGTAATGTTAAAATTACTTTAAAATTGAGAAGACTATTAATAAATAGTCTTGTATCCTAGGTACTTAAATAAATAATGTGGGAGTTAATTTTCTGAAACTTGTTAGCATTTTAACTGAAATGTGGAAAATGAGACTTTCTAGAAATTAAAAGTTTTAATTTTTAATAACTCCTATTTTAAGTGGTGTGTATTTGTGCCTAGTATCTGAAATACAATGAGTGAGAAATATTCCTATTGAATGGATATTTTTGTGATCTCGTTTTATCATGAAAGCATGGCTGTTTTGCTTTTCTCTTCTTTCTGTTTTTCTCCTTCCCTTCCTCCCTCCCTATCTTCCTTCCTTCATCCCTCCCTTCCTTCCTCTTTTTCTTTCTGACAGTGTTGGGGCCTCTTGCATGCTAATCATGTGATCCACCACTGGCAAATATCCCAACATCTCTGTAAGATAAAATTTAACATGCCTACGTCTTCTTCCCACCACTGTTTGTACTAGGATAGTACTCCTTGGCATTTTAAACATAGCTATTAATTTCCTTTTAAAACACAAAATATCATTAAGTGCAGACACTAGTTTACGAAGCATTGAAACAGCTGCACACTGATGCTGGCAATACTTTTCCAAATTGGGACTAAAATTATGAAGAGACAATATTTAAACAGCATATTTGTGTTCCTGGCTGGAGAGACCCCACTGCTCCTCCTGAACCAACATATGCCAACCTCATCAACGAACTCAGGCCTAGAAGTTGCTGAGCCTTCCAGCTATTGTCTTAGATTCCAGGCTCTGAGAGAGGGAAAAAAACTGGGGTCTGCTTTTCCTGTGTCATGTCTCTGAGTGTCTAGCCAAGTGTCTGACCCTAAGCGTTGTCAAGTAGGAATTCATTGAATGAATAGAGAATAATAAGTCCTGAAAAAATGAATACATGTTGATGTAAGTCTGTATCTCTTTATTTATGACACATCCAAAATAAAACTTGTTTACCGTAGAAGAAGAGATGCCAAATTCTACATTCCAGAGACAGTGTTTAACTCCTGACTGTACCTTGCGTTTTGCTGTTTCAGGACTCCTTGGCCCAGCCAAGAGGGATGCGTGGCTGCAATTAAGGGCAGAGATTGAAGGCCTAACAGATTCCTGGCTAACAAATGCACTTAAATCTTTATCAATTATTAGTACTAGGTAAGTGGGATTGTGACCATTCTTCTTCAATTATATGAAAATCCTGGGTCCAACAGCACAACAAAGAAAAACTGCTCCAATTCCTAGAAATTCACCACTCCAGTGATTTTCAGTGTGTGTGTGTGTGTGTGTGTGTGTGTGTGTGTGTGTGTATGTGTGTGTGTGTGTGTGTGTGTCATAACTACTATAATCCCATAGGATAGTCTTATAACTTGTCATGAGAAGGAATCAGTGCTGCGTTGGTAACAAAGTCCAAAGGATGATGATGAAATAAAAAGGGGACTTTTTGTAAAAAGACACGTGGCTTAGGTATATCAGATAATATGCACCACTTCAATATATCAGGGAAGCTCTTGAAAACCTCTAGCTTTTGCAGTGTTTTCATAAACTTGCTAAAATAGGTAACAAAGTTACAAATATTTCAAGTTGTTTTTCTACTTTGTACTGTCAGCAATAATTCAACCGTAGTGTAAGTTTTGGAAGTGATGGTTGATGGGTGAGATTAATGTTTCTTCTTTCTTATTCCATGGTTTTATTTCTGATATAGATGAACCAATAAATATGCAGTTAACCAATGTGTGGGTACCAGGCATTAAAAAGAGATGCTATCCAGACAGATATCATGTACATAAAAAATTTGCCTGAGTGAAAGAAGAGCCGAATATTTAGGACATGAAAGTAAATTCATGTGTCAAATGTGGCATGTGGTTCCTTCCTGGTGGCAAGATCAGAAACGTCAGAAAGTCCTTGTGGTGGGGGCTTGCACTTGGTTTCCTGTGTTGATTTGGGCAGACATGAGCTTTCTGTTCAGTTCGTGGTGTCACGTTCTAATGGAAATTCTGACAGACATGAAATCTCCAAGGTCCAGTTTGGTAGTGCCTGGAATTTGTTGTGTAGAAACTGCACAAAAGAGAAAACTGCCAAGAATTTAGCCTGAAGAGTCAAGCGTGAAACAAAATTGTCCATTGCAAATCTGCTTGAAATGTTGGGTCTAAAATGAGCTAAACTTTTAGTCTCTAGAAAGGTGAGCATCAGAGTGAATGTGTAAAAACCTCAGGAAGGGCATTAATTCTTCATGCAAGAATTGTCTGACCGATGAAGCTGCTTGTGCATGCAACTTCCAGCATCATGATGTCTGTAGCAGGGACACATCAGCCAGATGCCACGGACTCTGGCACACGGAAAACTTTGAAATCGCATACAATCATGGGCATTTCTCCAAGAATTAAACCAACAGCTCATTTATATGGTGTTTTTTATAAATGAACTTAAAGCCACCTCAAAATTACATGACCTTAAATGAATAAATAAATAGAAAAGAAAGGCCTGAGAAAATCAAGCCAACCACCAGTGACTGGGTAGCTAGGATGAGGCTTACTGAGTTAGCCACATATTTTAGCACTAACACATGTTGGAAATGTACACAAAACCCAAAAGCTGTAGGGGAAAAATTAATTGGTGAATTATGTGTCAGAGTGTCTGTTGGCTGATAGCACACTGGTGGTGAAGTCCTGAAAGAGGAGAATTCTTACAGAATTTAGAAACAGCAGGGGCAATTGTCACTCTTACTGATAGACGCTATTTACTACTAGAAAGCAAATCCATGCATTTCATTCCTGATAGGAGTAACTGTGTAAATGTCTTGGTAACGACAACGCAGCTGATCCCTGCTCTGGCGAAGGTCCTGCTCTACAGCCTAGGAGGTGCTTTTCCCATTGAGAACATTTACAGTGCGACTAAAATAGGTAAGGAAGCTATTTGAAATTCTGTACGAAATGTAGTTTCATCTGTGTTTGGGGCATTTCACTGATGTAGTTATATTTCTGCATGATTCTCTTTGAATCAATTTTTCATTAACATATCCAGAAAATTTAGGGATGCTTCAAATAACAAAAATCACATGTAATTGGTGTTGCATGTGTATATTTTATGAGAACGCTTAGCTAGTAACATGCTGAACTTAGTGTTTAGGCAATCCTAACTCATTCTGCACATTTTACACAGGATTCTAGCATACATTGTCTTAGTAAAGCATGCTACAGCCATAGTATGTAATTGTTCAATTAATATGAAATGGAATTACATCTTTGCATATTAAATAATACTGACCTAAGGTTAAAAATGAAAATACTATTTTGGCATCATTGGAAAGTCTCAGATTAATTCTGCCAGCAATCAAAACATAATTTCAGGAACAAGTGAAAATTTTTCATAAAACAGAATATGTAATTTTAGTATTCATTTCATGAGTGTCTGGGATATACATTTCTCCCCAGTACACAAATAACTACAGCCTGATTCTTGTGTAAAACACATCTATGGAGCCATCTTCATCTTCAAAATGCTTTGCAGAGTCTGACTTTTAATTATCATTTATAAACAAAACTTTACCAAGTTCTGCCATCTTGAGGGAGTTAAAGGAAGACATAATATATATCCCACTATCTGTGGAGAAAACTCCTGAGAGAATAGTTTGTGCCATGTGCCCCAAAGGGCAACAAAATTATCTGCTGGCACTTTGACAAGTTCAAAAATCCTAAAAACTTCCACCAACATAGCTAGACTTAGTTCTCGTAAAGGTTGCAGCCATTTGGGAAGACCAGTTAGGGAGAGTCAAACTTTCTTAAGTGTATGTCACATTGGCATGCATACCACGTACTGTGTCTATGAAGATACATACATACATACATTATACCCATAGGACTGACATATAGAATGTGATTTTTCTTTTTGATAACACAAATGATTTTGAATCCAACTAAACATTTCTTTTACTTAAAGGTTGATATTCTTCCCATTTGTTCCTTAAATTTAATGTAAAAAAGTAATTATTTTCCCTTGTCACTAGTAATTTTTGTTTTAGCGTTCTGACCTAGAGATCAAGAAAGAAAAATGGCAAAAGTAGTGATGGCTGCACAATCATTCTTACAATGGAATTCAGGAAAAGATAAAACATGAACAAGATGTCCACAGCAATACCTCAGTGTGTAGTCAGCAAATCTGCTGCAGTCACTGCTGTGGTCATTCAGACAGCATGCTTGATATAATTAATCTGACTCTATATGCTCTCACATACTTTTTTAAAGGAGTCATTTATCAAGGTAAATCTTTTAGTATTTCCTCTTTCCTTTGAGACGAGACTTCAATTTTCCCCAACTGACTTGCCTATTCAAAAGATAAATGTGATAACATTGGTTCTTAGAATCAAACAAATGCTGTAGAAACTTCTATTTGCCTATAAAAGTTGTTTCCCTGCTCTTTCAGTGGAGTTAGAAACACACTAACATTTTATCAAGGTCAAATTCTTAAGCCTACTGTCTTTCTTAGAATATCAAAAGCGTGTGTTTAATAATCCAAAATTAAAAGCAAACTTAGTTAAATGAGTGTGTTGATTTGTAAATGCAAAGGTCATAAGGTAATAACCTCACTCCAATATTGTTCAAGAGACATTAATCTAACACTTTGTGAATCTCCAGGTTAATGGGTACCATGGCCAGAGGAATAAGCAATGCATTGTTTTTTCAGGCAAGGAAAGCTGTTTTGAACGTATAGTGTCCAGATTTGGCACTAACATAACTTATGTTGTGATTGGAGATGGCCGAGATGAGGAGCATGCCGCTAAGCAGGTAATTTCGCTCTGAACTTTTATCTCATTTATCTTCCAGGAAAAGAAAGTTGCTTTGAACGAATAATGCAAAGGTTTGGCAGAAAAGTAGTATATGTTGTAATTGGGGATGGTGTAGAAGAAGAGCAGGCAGCGAAAAAGGTAACCTGTCTCAAACAATGTTGGTGTGATACTTCTAGTGCAAGCCTTTTTGTTTGCGTCCTTGTAGTTTGGCCCAATGGCAGCTTGACAAGTGATTGACTTTCATAGATGCAAATCAGTAAGAGCATGAGAGTCAATGTTGACCTGCAAATAAACCATTTGGAGTCTAGCATTTTATGCCTGAGATTTGATAGGACATACAGGATAATTTATTGATATTTATTCAAATGTGTGTAAATATATAAAATGTATTCATACATTTAGAACATATATTTAACACACAAACAGTGCACACAGAGATGGATTGGAAAAAACTCATGAAATTTACCAGATGAAGAAATTTAACAAGCTCATAGTACAGTCAGAGAGGGTAGCCCATGACTCTCAAATGCCACATGTTCCCTGTGAGTGCCTGGAGACAGATGGGTTCCTTGATAATATATGCTGAAAACAGACTTGATAACTAAAGGAGAACTTGTAGCAGGCCTTAAACAGCATGGTTGGAATGGATGTATTGGTCATACTTTCTATGCCAACTTGTCTTAGAGTCTTACTGGCAATGTTCCTCCCATCTAGAAGTTTTTCACATGTTTCAGTTGGATTTAAGTGCCAAGCAGCTGACTTTCAGCATACAGAGATATCAAGACCCTACTGACTTAAATAAGTTTTTTTTTTTATTGGATGCATATTTCTGATGAGGAACCAGGGTAGTTGTAATCACCAAGTGACTGATTCAGCATCAGAAGAGGAATGATAAGAGGTTTGTTCTCCATACCAAACAACATTAACCTGTGCCCTCTACTTTGCTGAAGGGCATCAAAATCAAAGAAACTGTGACATTTTAGCTTATAAAAAGAATGTTATAATTCTCATCTATGGGCAGTCTAAATCACTTTCGAATGAAGCCTCCACTAGACATACATCACAATGTAGACCCAATTTATGTTTTCTATAGAAGAATCAGAATAAAAGGTTCCATAGAAGAGTTTATGAGCATAACAGAAAGATAAATGATTAATGTGTCCAGTCAATTCAAACCCAGCAAATTGAAGGATGGGAAGCGTTCTGCTTCAGAGGGTTTGCAGGCATCATTGGCATCTGTCCCCTAGATGCCTTGTGCTTTCCCATTCTTTTACGAGAGCTGGTGACATGGAACTCCCTGAGTGTTAATTAGCAGTGGCTGTGACTCAAGACACTGGTCCCAAGGACATTCTGTGTAAGATCAGCCGCACAGCCTCAAACAACCCCACCTGCCCTGCTGCCTGCTGTTTGAAGTGTCATACACAGTTGCCATCTTTTCTGGAGTTTATGATGCCTATCTTAGGGGAGTTTATGGTTTTGATTTTCCATGTTGGCACCATTATCACATATAGCAAACAACAGACTTTTTGGCAAACACAAGTATGTTTTTAGCCTATTTGAAATTGATTTATCTCTGGGTCGAAACTAATAAAGCTCACATTTCCAAGCCAATAACAATGTGTGCCTTTCAGAATTAAGATTTATCAAGTCCACTTTAGTAATCCACACTAGGAATTGTAGATTATGGAGATACCCTCTGCTTTGCAGCTGCAGGGTCAAAGAGCTTGACTCCAAATGGATCAAAACTTTGGATAGAATGCTATTTTCAAATGGTTGTTTAAGTAGGCACAGTTTGGGTGATGGGTGAAAGCTGTGATTCTATTTGGAAACACAGGTGGCTGGTTTCCCTAGTACCAAGAATGCATGCTTTCCTTTGAATGTAGGAGTAATCGCATGTACAAACATACTGAGTACTGTTTTATAATTACAAATAGATCTGAGCTGAAATGAAAAATGCTACACTTCTCAAAATTCTTTGCTCTAGTTAAACTGAAACCTGTGTTTATGAAATTCAAGGGGGATGTCAAATCTTAGCAATAAGAATGATAACTGCACTCTCATCTATACAAAATGTATACTTTAATTTTTCTAGATGCCACATTCAAAAAGAAAAAGAAACAAGTTGAGTCAACTTAAGTAATGTCTGTTAATTGGCCCAAACTGTCCCAAATATTATATATCAATACATAGTCTATATAAGAATTATTGGCATGATGTCTATATTCCTGTGTTGGCATTAGTCTCATTTTGAAATTCAGAATGTATTTTTGATCGACCTAAACATATTTAATTATGCATGATCATGTGTGGTTGGTGTATACCATACTGAGCAGCAAAGAATATGTAAAGGTAGTGATTATAATAAAGTTTCATGCTAAAGAAAGATATTTTTCAATATATGTATATATATATTTCCACTGCATACAAGACTACATCCCATTCACATTATGTCCTAGATGTTTTAAGTTCAAGCTAACAAATAATTCTATTATTTTGTAATTTACTATACTACACTTTTTATTATCATTATTTCCAATGAAGTGTCCTCAGATATTATTTCCAATCAGTCTCCTCTGTAAACCCTGAATGACACATCTATATTGAAAACATATATCCCTGGAGAGCCACAAGCCAATATACCATCTAAGAGTTCTCTATCCACATGGGGATGGCATGTCCTCATTAAAACTAAGTTTATGTCCTTTCCCTTTCAATCTTGTACTAGTGAAATAAACCAAGCCATCAACTGGCTTAAGTTATTAGTTATCCTAGACAAGTATTATTGAATATTATCAATTATAATATTTAGTCCCGACCCAAATTGTTTGTTGCATAGGTAGGAAATCACTTTTTTTTCCTCTCAAATTGTCAAAGGCCTGTGAGTTTAGAAAGATAATAGTCTAATTTTGCCTTATTTTTAACCAAGAAATCAACGTTCAAAAGTGGTGTGTTGATAGTTTTGTCCCTCATCCTTGCGGGATTTCTATGCCATCTTGCTTTCTCCAATATTGACCTTGGTAATGCTAATTTGCAGAGCAGAGATTAAATCGTGCAGGAAACTCCGTATTGGCTGTTATATGTTAAAGTCCAGTTCAGATCTATTTCTCGGTTCCTTAGAAAGTTCCGCATTGGTACTAGCAGACCTCCACCTGTGGGTATCCCTCTATTAAACACCCTCCCTTGAATTTGGATGAAAACTACTTCCTTGTGTGTGCTGCTGTCTCCATGGGATGATGGTTATGATCTGTCTCCATTCTTCATTCCTACCCTCTCCCTTCATCCTCTCTCCTTGTCTTGACTACACAGCACAACATGCCCTTTTGGAGGATATCAAGCCACTCGGACCTCTTGGCTCTACATCAAGCACTGGAATTAGAGTATTTGTAACTGTATTCTCTAGATGGGGATCCATTTTTTTTATATTTCAAGTACACTGAATTTTTATGTGTGATCCAATGCCGCTGGCTTCTTCTACACATATAAATGGTCTTAAAGGATGAAATCAAACTTGGAATGAAAACTCCAGAGTGAAGAATTCAGGTTGCTGAATGGAATTAAACTTTAGTGCTACAGCAAGGAAACTCTATGGTCTTATTATCTTTACAATACTTTCATGGTTTAAAAAAATCTGTGGAGGTTGCTGACACACACCAAATGAGTCCTAACTGGAATTAACAGCTTTAGTAAAGAACTCAAACCCTCCCGAACAACAGCACCTGTTCTGCCTCTGACAAGGTGATCGAAAACATTCCTCAAAATGGGAGTTCTTCTCAACCCTGAGGTTTGAATCTGACTTTTAGCCTACCTAGCCCAGAAAATCTGAATCTGAATGCACTCAGACTGTATAATGACAGTCCTATCTAGACCTGTAATTTGTGTAAATTATTGATGGAAATAATTTACTGTGACTTTATTAGCAGCTGAATCTGAAAGTGGATGCAATTTTTCTTTTATTTGTCGGGGTGGGAAGAGGGCTGGGGAAATGGGAATATAATATTGTCTCTTTTTTAAGTTTGGCAGAGAGAATGTTCATACTGATGTGTTGTGCCTTAAAGACAAGACAGCATTTGTGTGTTACAGTGTAACTTTGGTTAAAGTCTCTGTAGATAATGAAAGACAAAAACAAACAAACTAAAAAAAAAACAAACCTACAAGCAAATCAAAAACCTTTGTAATAATTCTTCACATGACCAAATTTAAAATTTATAAGCTATCACTTTAATACTGAATCGAAAGCAAACTGAGCATTTTTTTAGAATGAGAAATAAACAATAATAATACAACAAAGGGTTCTGAATGATTCCAGTAATCAATAAGAGTCAGCTATCTGAACAAGCAATCAAAAGCAAAAGGTTTGGGAAACAGTGGGTTCTTTGTTTAGAAAGTGAAATATATGTTGGAGTCTCAAGTATCCTTTCTTACAGTTTTCTGGAAGAAAACTAAGAGCCATATTCATGTCAGTTTTCCCAATTTTAGTTTAAGATTCTCGTTATATATAAATTGCCTAGAGGAAGATATTATGGTGCAAATTATTAGCAAATATTATTCAAGTCATTTTTAGAATATGCTATGAATATAGTTTTAAACACACACTGAGTAGACACAACAAAGTACATTTGTCTTCCATGCCATTGCAAAAGCAAGTACCATCAGTGATAAAAGGCAGGTATACCAGATAGTTGCCAAGGGGAAAAACACTGAGTCTGTGAAATTTCTTTTATATAATATTATCACAAATTAATTATCAAACAAGCTAGATCTTGACAGCATCACCAGATCTCAACAGTAAAAGTGATTAGCTCTCCTTGGAACACATTAGTCCAGGGTCTCCCCATTTACAGACAGGAATATGTTGGTGTCCTTTTAATATGATCGCTGAACAATTCCTGCATTCAATTGCTGGGAGAGCCTGCCATCATTGCGTCTGCATGTCTTTTTGTTTTATTGATGTATAGCCCATGTTGGTAACATGATATAGATTCTCTCATTGGTTATGACATGGTTTGCCTCATGGACATTTAAGACTTTAAGAAGTAAAGTATTCTAATGTTATGAATACCTGAAGCTCTATGTTCTGAATGGCATCAGATGAACCCAAGATTCCAGCAGTTAGTCAGTGCCCCTAATCTGAGGCTGGTTTATGATAGACCATCACCTGAGACTTCTGCAGTTTAAGTAAGACCAATACTTTCCTCTAGAGAGCATTTGATAAGGCCCTGTTTAGGGTAGAAAAATAATGAGATAATTCTGCATAAGACAGAGACTCCCTACATGATCCTTACTTTTTACATGTTGTGGCTTTTGGTTACCCTTTCCCATAATGCTACCGTGGCAAATTATGACTGGAATATTTTAATCCTAATAATATTAATAATGTAATAATTTTACACTTCTGCTGGTCTTCAGCTTCATATGGTTAAAAGGTTAAAGACTATTTTTTTATTACCAGTACTCATTTGTGCACTTAAACCCTAAATTTTTATTACTATGACTAAAACAAAGTTCATTGGGCACACAGCCAGTCTCTTCGTGGAATGACTTATGGCCCTGCATCAAGAGTAATGTTTCATTTTGAAATCTGATGAACAAGGCTTCAACACAGCTCCACTTAAGGGTCAGACAGACTCACCTTTTGCAAAGAATACAAGGGCTGGCTGCTGGTATCCTCCACGATACTTCTCATGCATCTCCCCCCCCCACACTGTCCTGCAAATATGTGTATAGGGGAGACAGCTAGTATAACACCTACAAGTGAGGTTGATGGAAAACAGATTGTCTACCCAACATAGCAATGGTGGCAGTCAAAAAGTCAGCCATGGGTCCTGCTTGGTCATGTGACTTCGAGTGGGTTCAAAGTACAACTCTTCCCTTCCCACCTTAGGATAGAAACATCCTCTTTCTTCCTGAAAAAAAAAAAACAAAACAAAACATCAGCCAACCAGCAATAAAGAAAACCAGTCCCATAGGCAGTTCCTACATTCTGTTTTTATGTAGAATATTGTGCCTTGTTGTAAATGAGTCTGAAAACTGTTCTCCAATTCAAATGGGGTTTGGGCTATTACATACTCATATTAGAAAAAAATAACTGCTTTATATTGCACCTTAAAAATATCAAGACCCTATAACTTGAGTAATAAAATAGATGGCCTGACTACAAATATCATAGCATATATTTAAGATGATAAAACCTTGAGGAAATGTGTCAATCCAATTCAGAGGTTAAAAAAATAAGATTTTAAGATTGTATGATCTGTGCACAAAAATAGGTACTGTCTGGTGAGCGAAGATCAAAATAGCTTCAACTGCATGCCCTACTGTGAAGTTTTAATGAAGCCTACTTGTTTGTGACAAACCTACATTCTCAGCAAATATGGTGTTTAGTATTTCTTTTCAACACAAACATAAGCCATCATGAGCCAAAGTTGCATTTTGACTCCAAATTATGGTGGTGTTGTAGGGATCTCACAGTCAGAGTCAAGGGTTTCTGTTATGTATTAGTAAAGTTATAGATTATTGGAGCCTACATAATTTAAAGAAATGTAAATTAATATTAAAAGCTTGTAAAAAATATGTACATCTTTACTATTTCTCAATAAATACCTTTGCAACTGTTTTCACTTTCTTTGTGCTTCCATTTTGTAGAGTTTTTAATGTGCATATATTGATTGATTCTAAATCATGTGAAATTAATATTTAAGTCTCAGAATATAGTGTTCCTTTTTTCTGCCTATGCTGAAGAGTTTTCCTTGAAGACAGACTGAATTATAACACAGCAAATTTCACTAATGAGCATTGTAATATGCTGGCTTCTGAAAATGTAAGTTACATGTAGGAATCTTCATTCTTTCAAGTATAATCATAATACAGCCACAATATTTTAGCAATATGGTAATGTCTATTAGATTTGTATACATTTGTTATATTTACTTATTGTGTCTGAATGTGTGTGGGTGTACACATGTCATGTCTCACATATACATGGGAAGGTCAGACAACAACATGTGGGAGTCTGTTTCACGATGTGAGTTTGAAATCAGGCTGCAAGGTTGTCCCTTAACCTGCTTTGTCATCTTGCCAGCCCATAATAGAATATTAAAATTTAGATGAGCATGACCATAAACTTATAATATATGGCTCTCTGTTATCAGTATCCTCCAAGAGAACAGAAGCGTATTTTCATGAAATTAATTTAGCAGTTTGTATCACATTATGGTACTAATTTCTTCACAAGGACATTATTTACACAATGATCAGAAGCAAATTTCTTTTTTTTATTTTTTATTATTTTAATTTTAAATAGCTTGTTTTACATGTCAATCCCAGTCCCCTCTCCCTCTCCTCCTCCCGCATCTCCCACCATCCCCCCCCAGCCTCCCACCCTATTGCCAATTCCTTCCACATAGGGGATATCCAGAGTCTGTCATTTCACTCAGGGCAGGGTCCAGGCACTCCCCTAAGAGTCCAGGCTGAGAGAGCATCCCTCTTTGTGTTATGGACACACAATGTCTGTTTGTATTCCAGGGATAAACACTGATCTACTGCTCAGGGCCCCATAGGTTGCCCAGGCCTCCTCACTGACTCTCACATTCGGGGGGTCTGGATCAGTCCCATGCTGGCCTCCCAGCTGTCGGTCTGGGGTCCAAGAGCTCTCCCCTGTTCAGATCAGCTGTCTCTGCTTTTACCCATTTACAACTTTAAAAAAAACTTTCAAGTTAATAAAATTTAGAGGAAATTATGTGACCATATTCTAGCAAACCTTATACTGTGCCAAAGACCATTAGGGCCTACAGAACACAATAGATGGGCCTCAAATAATTGGCTAGATGAATCTCTTTATGTTCTTTCACATCTAATTACCTCTGAAAGGTGGATTTTTGAGAAGTATTAAATTTCCTTTCCCCTGAGCTACAAACAAGCATGTCTCCTTTGTCCATTCAGTGTACCTACCTGGATGAACGAGTCACATGAATTCACCCAAGCCAGAGCGTGCACTTCTATGCCAGCCACACCTCATCTCTCCACAATTACCACCCAGGCATGACCATCATCCTTGTCCACTTGCATCCCAATTAGCCTCTAGTTGACTATCTGCTTGGGCCTCACACCCCTTTAGTACCTGCCATTACAGCAGATAGGGAAATCCTTTAGATTAGAACCTGCTCCTCTGCTCCAAGAAGTGTCTACCAATTGCCTTTGCATCTGATTCAACATAAGCACCATTGTGCTTAAGACTTAGAAAGCCTACATGAATGATCTGGTGACGTAAGTAGTTCATCTTTGTCTTCCACCATCCTCTGGCTAATTTCTTATGGCTGAATATTTGTAATTTTGTCTCACACTGGGAACCAACTTCATCAGAGACTTGTCTCCAGTATGGTTCCTTCTTCTGTCCTTTGCCCAGACATCTTCACTGCTTATGCCTAGTACTCCTTCAGCTCTTTCCCCAAAACTATCTAGCGACTAACAAGTTCTGATCTCTAAAATTAGATGTGTCCCCACTTCTTTGTATTAAATAATATTAATTCTTTGCTTTATTTAACTTTATATATATATTTTATTCACCTTTAATATGGTGCTGTTTGACCATGACAAGGTGTGCTCTGTAAAGCAACAGATTTTCCTGTTTTACTCATTTCTGCAAAACAAGCATCTATGAAGATTACTGGCACATAGGAGGAACTATGGCACATTGTAGATCGATGATCTATTGGCACATAGCAGGAATTTAAGAAGTGTTTGTGGGGTGGACGGCTAAACCACGGAACATGTGTACAATCACCATCTAAAATTAACATGGTTTCCAATGATGTATGATCTGAAGGGGGGTGAGACTACATACAGGTAAGTTGGATGAGACCATGTAAGACCTTACAGCATATTGGAGTTCTTGGTAACCTAATGTTATATAAAAATATCAAACAATAATAGATGTAGCAATAATATGTTTCAATAGTATATTTGAAAAGTGGTTGTACATGAACTGAGAATGCCCTGCTGGGTTAAAAACAAGTTTCTAATGGTTCATAAATTTCTTCCTTAGTTTTCTTATTCTGTTTTGTTTGTTTGTTTGGGGTGCTTGTTCACATTTTGTGACAGGTGGGAGATGCTGTTACCCAGATTAACCTACAACTCACTTTGTGTTTCAGATTGGCCTCAAACTTGTGACAATCCTCTAGCCTCAGCCTCCTAAGTACTGGGATTATAGGTAAAAGCCACCACATTAACTTAAAATGTATTAACTTTAACATGATATACAAAATCATTGGGCTTGGTTGAATTACAGTTCATAAAGAAGTAAAGTCATGCACAAAACACATCTCTCTGCAAGTTGTGTGATTCATAATTCTGAATCCTTGAAATAACATGTTTTAACAGAGTTTTATATACATAAAATCTATTTTGATTGTGTCAACCTCACTTCAATTGTCCCATACTCCAATTGCGCCCAGAACCCCTGCATCACGCCCCCTACCACTGAGTTCAATTAGTCATGCCCATATGCGCATGGCTATGGGAGCATCTACTAGAGCACTGGCAACCTTCCAGGGTTCACAACCGTAAAGAAAACCGACTCTCCCTTCCCCAGCAGCTATCAGCTACCAATATCTCCCCAGTCAGGGGTGGGTCCTCCCAAGCACCTCCCTCTTCTGTACTTGAAATTTGTTTCTATGGAAGTCTTGTAATCCTGTGAGTTTGTGATTACAATGGCCACATCACATCCAGAAGTTTTTCTAAAGACTCTTTCCACCCCTTCTTCCATAATGTTCCCTGGGCAGTGGTGTGTGTGATACAGATGTCAAATTTATGACTGAACACTCACAGTCACTTATTCTCAACACTTGGACCCATTATGAGGCTTTGCATTAGCTATTGCCCAAGGCAAAAGAAGCTTCTCTGACCATGGTTGAGAGAAGCATAGATCAATAGGTATAAACGTAAATGTGTATATGGCAATTTGTCAACAGGACAATTGGGAAAAAAAACAGTTTTAAGTTCCTCTTGGGGTCTATGTCCTTCTTAGCCAAGAACTACAAAAGACTTTGATCAGCTATGCAGAGCACTGTCTCATTGACTATCAGGACTCTTGTGTCTTTGTCATGTATCTTTGATTTTTTTTATGTCTGGCAGCTGCTCATTAATATTAATTGATTTCTCCAGTAAAGTCCCAATAAATATGTGAAATGGAAAAAGTGTACACTGAAGGGAAGTGGAGAAATCACCAAGTAACTCTGTTTCTATAAAATTGTGGCAGAAACTCCACAGAGTCTGTAATTTCGAAGCCCTACACAGTTTACTGGGAGACTTAAGATAGTGAGTGGCCCAGGAGGTCCGACGGTAAGTGGAAGGTGCATGGTGAATTGCTTTGTAGATAATGCCTACCCAACCTTGAAAGGGAAACTTCCTAGCGAAAATGATTCAAGGACAAAATAAAGGTGGGGGAGGGTGGCATGACTGGAAGCATCTAGACAAAGTGAGAAACTCATGAGAGAAAGCGGTGGATGTGGAAAGAGAGAAGAGTATGGTTATGGTAGAGAATTATAAAGAATCCCTCTTACTGGGACACTGGATGAAAGGGAATAGTAAAACATGAGACTCAGATACAAAGAAAGTTAGAATGAGGGGATTTTCAATACAGAGCTAATTTTATCCTGGATGAGGAGGACTGAGAGAGATAGAGGGTGTATGTGTCCGGGTTGACTTATATAAGTTTTCCTGGCCACACCATAAAGATTGTGGGTCCTAAGAGGATAACAGAACCCCAAATATTATTGATTGCTGAATAAGATGATGGCCACAAATGTGGAAAGAAGGAAATGGATTCAAGGAAATTAAACTGCCAATCGTAATTAAGTCCTGGCAACCATTGTTGCTTCTCCTCCTAGCCTGAGGCATAGACATCCTGACCTCTGGGTTTCTGCTTGGGCAGCTTGATAGATAGCAATACAGCTTCCAAGAGATCAGAAACACAAAAGGAAACAAGATTCTGGTTGAGGTTTTTGTTAGGGTTGACTGCTTCCCTCTGCCTGGAGATGTCTGGAGTTGAGAAGTGTTCGTCTGGAAAAAGCCACCGAGTTGCAAAGCAGGGTTGTTCGATGAGTTTGAAACTGCAGCAATTTCCTGGTTGTTTTTAAATGCTTTGCCAGATCATGGCTAAATCACTATGAAAGCTTTAAGTAAAATCTGAAATAATTTAATGAAATCACATCAATTATATGGAGAAACATAGCTTAGGGAGTAAACTCTGTGTCCAAACCTGGCAGCCTGAGTTTAATACCCAGGACCCACATGGTAGGAGAGAAATGATTGTCACAAGTTGCCCTCTGACCTCTACAGTCTTGCCATGGCCTAAGCACACACACACACACACACACACACACACACACTAATTTTAAAACATCTGCTATTTGTATAAACGTGGGTCATCATGGTAGAAAGTCTAGGAACTAGGAATAATGCCAACAATGTATTGTGTGGGGGTGGGTGGGAAGGGCATCATGGGAAATTGTTTAGGGTCTCCAGTTGATTTAACATGTTTTTGTGTCCTCTGCTGGACTACAGTTTACAAAAAGATAGAGCAGTGTGTAATATGACTGGATTTATAGCCTGAAGGAA